TATTTTCCATTAGCTTAGCCCATTTACTAGACACACAAAAAATATATAGGAATTTCCAATTCAATTAAAAATTTCTAATCAAATGTTTTTCTCTTTATGAGTGTTGTAAAAATAATATATGAAAAATGCAATTATCTTTATTATTTGTAATGAAATAGTATTCAGCACCAAAAAAAAGGTCCTTTGAGCCGGATCCTGTTCATAAACAAGTTAAAGATTCCCCACCTTGTGGCATTATTTAAACACTTTCTGTTCAACAATTTTTCCCTCTAAAAATTAGTAAAATATATATAATTTAAAAGAGAATGAGTTTTGTTTAACCCTAGCTTTCCAAAAATGTTTCTCCTTTAAAAAAAGAAGTTAAATGTGAAAAAATGCCCCTCAAAGTGGGGTCCACTCTAAAATATATAGAAAAACTAACCCTCTAAGCCCCCACCCAAAGTCAAATTTACACAATGCATTTTTGCAAAAGCTCTCTAACGCTTATCAGTCAAGGTTTTAGCAAAAAATAACAAAACAAAACAAAACAAATAAAATAAAATAAATAAAATAAAATATAGTACCGAAAATAGACATCGTCACAAAAATGTACGTCACTTTTTTGTATGCATAAATTCAATTAATTGAAAAGTAAATATAATTGAATCAGTAACATAATGCACAGGAATGCAGCGCCAAAACTAATACTATTTAAGCCAAAACATTTTTGCAAATTAAATGGGAATAAAAATGAATATAAAAAACTTGCCACACACAAAAACTAAAAAAAAATCATGCCACATTGCCACGGAAGCGGATAAATTAAAAAACTTGAAAACCAGGCGAAAGAAACAAAATTGAATTAAAATGTATTAACAAATAAAGAAACAAAAAAACACACACATACAAAACGGAGAACAATTAACAAAAAAAAGTAAAAAATTGAGGCAAACCCAAAGCGTCGACCACAAAAAACGTTTTTGTGATTCATAATTTCGATTCGGAATCGGTTTTTTGTTGTTGTTATTATTTTAATACATATATACATACATATATATATTTTTTGTGATTTTGTAGAGTTTGCCTTTTGTTCCCCCATTTGGAGGTGTGTGTGTGTGTGTTTTGTTTTTATCTTTCCTATTTGAAAATGCTTATTTTTTTGTTGTTGCTCGGATAATTGCATAAAAATAGAGGCCGTATTTGTGTTGCCTTTTTTGTGATTTTTTCGAACGCGACATAATTTGATTTGAAAACCTTGGCTAAACAAAAGAAGATGAAAGAAACAAATAAAGAAGAGAGATAGGTGGATAGATAGAGAGGCCCAGAAGAAGAAACTGGAGCCCCAAAAGAATTCTCCTCGGACTTTCCAATGGTGCGGGAAAAACCATATTTTTAGTGTATTTCTCTAGGTTTTTTACTATTATTTATTTCTTCTTTTTTCTGTATTCTTTCCCATTGTTTTGCTTGGCTTTATTCGACGGAAATAGTTTTTATCTCTCCTCCCATAGCTTTGATTTCAGCGTTGCTTTTTTGTATACGTTTTTTGTATTATTATTATTATTGCTGGTCTTCTATGTATTTTCACCCTGTTTTATTTTCTTTCACTTCCACATTTTGCTCTAGAAGTTATCAGCGAATTTTGCCTAACGTGTTGTTAGTTTTTATTGTACAAGTACATACATATATACCATATAAATATATATTCATATTTCTAGTGTTGTTAATTTTTTTCTTTTTTTGATTTGCTGATTTTTGTTGTGTTTGTTTTTAATTATAAATATGCGCTGATATCAGAGAGAGGGAGGAGGCGGTAAACAAAACAAACAAAAAAAGCTTAATGAAAAAGAAAAAAGGCAGCAAATAAAGCCCTTTTCCAGCAACAATAGCAAATATAGAATATATATTCAAACAAATAAAAAAAACCTTGGGAAAAGTTCAAGGAAATTATTCCATATTCCATATTCATACCTTTCAACGGAAGGTTTTTTTTTCTTTTTTGGAAAACATTATTTACGCATTGCAAATTATTTTGTTATTTTCAGTTTTGCTGTCCAAATGGAATTGTTTGAATAAACAACCAAAAATTTGCGTAAGAAGCGAAATTTATTTACTAAGCAAACTGAAGTTGGTGTGATAAAACAAAAATAAATAAAAATAAAAAATAGGTTCTGCCAGTTCATAAGGTAAAACAACAAACAAAAGCCACGAAAAACAATATTCGTGTCAAAATTTGTGTCTTTTTTTGTGCTTTATTTCCTATTGCTGCCATTTTGTTGTTATTATTATTCTTTTTTTTCTGTGCTTTTTCTGAAGAATTTTATTTGGTTGCGGAATAACACGAAAATAAGTGTGATTTTTTGTTGATTATAATAAGAGATTTTTTTATGATCAAGACAAGACTCGGAGAATACCCTGTTTTGGGTTTATTGAATCTCTTTTCTTTACTAAAAAGATAAGGGATAGTTCAGAAATTTTAAAAGTTAACAAAATATACAAATTTTAAAGAAGTTCTTAAAAATTCTTTGATATCTTGTTTACTATTTTTATACCCTTACAGGGTACTATCACTTTAGTCAGAAGCTTGTAAGAATGTGAAGAAATCATTTCCGACCCTATAAATCATATATATTCTTGATCAGCATCTTTAGCCGAGTCGATCTAGCCATCTCAGACATAAAACAAAAATTTTCGAAATTTGTAAATTTTTTTAAGGGGTTTCATCGTTAAAATTGTCAATAAAATTTGCAAAAAAATTTAATTTTTTAAAATTGTATATTGAGTACGCAAATTTATTACCCTTTTAAAAACTAACATAGCAAAGCTTTCTGATTTAAAATTAATGGTTTTTTGACAAAGTTATGAGTTTTTGAAACTTTGATTTGTTGAAAAAATTGTCATAAAAACTGTTTGTAAATAACGATTAAGAAAATTCAAATATTTAAAACTTACTTATGATCGATTTTCAGAAAACAGAAAATATATGCATGAATAAATAATATTTTTATTATAAAAATTGTCAACAGACGAATTAAAGGTAAAAAAGTGTACAAACCCTTTAAATATTTAAAAAAAAAACCCCAACTTTTTAACGAGTGCAATAACAAAAAGGTGACTTAACTGTGAAAAAAAAGTGATTAAATAACGTAATTAAGATGGATGCATTACGTCGATAAGGGGGAGGAGGGAGAGATTTTAGAACAGTCTAATTTCTAGTTTCATTTAATGTTCAGAGTGCTAATAATTTGATTAATGTTAATTACGACTATCTAAATTACAAATGTGCATAGTTCGGATGCATATTGGCGGTTGTCCCGTGTCAATTCTAATTAATTTTCATAAATCAACCAGATAATGTGAACTTTAATGAACATTTCTGAATGCAACATTATTTTAAAATCTTACATTATGGGCGCTAGAGACAGCGAAACTTTTAAAGGGGCGTGGTCCATGGATGCTGACCTGCCCTTGTTTATTGTCTTTGTGTTTGTGTGCTTGTTGCAAGTGCGGGTGTATGCGTGTGTGTGTTGTTGATTCCGCTTTGGACAATGAACTTGAAATTTGGAGCACGCGTTCCACATGTAATTGAAATGTGTGTGAGTGGAGCGAAGGACAGAGAAAGAGAGAGAGACAGCGAGTAGGGGGAGCATGGGGAGATGGAGAGAGCGAGAGCACGCATACAGGCGGCAGTCACAAACAAACTCACACACACATACGCAACGATGCCGCAGATTTTGCGCCTCTCTTTGCCATCCCCAAACCCCCATCCAACCTCTTTCACCTCTTCCACCTCCTCCTCCCCCTCCTTGGCCACTGGTTTTTGCGCAGGCGAATGCCGTTGTGAAAACAAAAAATCTAATAAAACAGCGGACAAAAACAAAAGGCCGGAGAAACAAGACGAAAACGTAAACGTAACGCAAAACGTTTCGCAGCAGCGACGCGACGTCACTCAATTTGCGATTTGCAATTTTAATTTTTGTTGTTCACGTTTTTTTAACGTTTTTTTCTACGACTTTTTCTAGCTTTTTTTATTGTTCCCCCAGTTTTTTGTTTGATTTTTCAACGTTCATTATAATTAACGTTGTAAAAATGAATTGCAATGAGTAGAAAGACAAAAAAATAAATAAATAAAGAGGAAAAAAGAAAAGTAAATTGCAAATTGCTTTTACTGTAAAGGCGGAAATGCTGATGGCAACAAAAATCAAACAGTAAAATAAAACTTAAAATAAGCATTAATAAATTTAAAAATAAAAATATAGTAAAAACAAATCGAAAAAGAACGTTTTCAGAAAATAATAAATATCTATAATTTATTGCACATTTTTCTCTTTAACAACAAAATAGATATTTTTCCACTGTCATTTCTAGTTGTTAATTATCAGCAAAAAGAAACAGAAAAAAACTGTAAATTACTGGCGCATTTTTCTCATTTTGCCTTTTTTTGACTGAAATTTACATACTTGGTTTATTTAATTTTTTGTACCGCTTTTTTCATTATTTTTCCCCACTTTTTATCTTTGCAAATTAATGACAACAAATAGCGGACAGCGAATAAAATCGTTTCCTGGGCAAAAGCACAATTGTTTATAATAATTGTGCATGAATAAATACGCGGGCATTATTATTTATGTCAATTTCGGTTTTAAGCAGCTGGCAAAGTCAACAAACCCGGAAACCTTCGGAAACCGAGAGAACAACGGCGTTTTATTTATCGTAATATTTTTTATATTTCTACGTTTTGTTTTTTTTTTGTGCATTCACTTGCCAAACAATAAGCACAAAAAAAAATTAAAAAACATAAAAACCACGCACAAAACGAAACATGTAAAAAAAAAATCACGAAACAAAAACAAAATTATTCTTGAAAAAATCGCAAATTATGAATGCAAAAAGGAGGAAAAAAAAACAGCACACACACACACACACCACATACACAGATAAGACACAACTTTTGTTTGGCTAAAAATAAAACGACGTTTTTGCGTGTCTTTTTAGCACATGAAATAAATAATTTGTTTTCTCACCTTTTCTTTACGACTTTTCGCGGTATCTTTTTTGCTTCTCCTCTCTCCTCGCCTTCGCCTCGTACCGTTTCTTTTGTTTTCTTTTTTATCGCCTTCCTTGCGACCGCTCTTCGTGTTTATTTGATTAAAATGCACACGCAGCTGCTTTATTTGTTTTATTATTGCAACGAAAATTCATTAATTTATTATATTCGGCCTTTCATCATATTTTAGTTTTTCTATATTCGGTGTAACATTAAAAAAAATAAACGGAATTTCAAACAAAATTTTCAAAGCGCGCGCTTTTTTCAGTTTGACGAAAAGCTTACAGCGGCTAACGGTAAACACACGAAATAAATGTCACTGTGTTTTTTCTTTTCGGCGTATCACCGAAAGATGTCAATCACTATTAGCAATGTTTAAACAAAAAAATAAATAAAATACAAGTGTATCTTTAGTTTTTATATATTTGGTTCATATTTTTATGTTAATATCTTGTGGATTTTAGCGGGTGTTTTTGAAGCGAAACCGAGGGATACTCGGCGACGCTGAGATATTTTTCGAGTGAAAAAGAATAAGCTTTGCGCGTTGCTTTTATAGACTTTCGGTGGCGACTGTGTTGTCAATTTAGCCATTTTCTCAGCAGAGCAAACAAACGGAAATTTTTGTAATTATTTAAATTTTTGTTGTTGGTTTATTCCGCTTTTTGCATAGAAAAGTAGAATTGTAGTTCGTCTTAATTTATATTAATAGAACTATTATATTAAGCTGACATTTCTATTTAATTTTATTTTATTATGAAAAATATATGAATAAGCAAGTGTCTAGGACTTCTGCCTAAAAAGCTTGGTAGTACCTCGACTGAAAAATGGAAATGTTTAGTTCTTTTAAACATTTTTCTTCCATAAAATTTCAGTTAATATTTTAACTTATTTTTAGCTATATTTTCGGACAGCTTTCATAAATAAGTTGACAGCACTGTTTGCAACACAGGGACAGCATTCTGCAACATGTTGAGAGATTTTCAGAGCTTTGGGTTCGAGTCCAAGCTAAACCTTAAGCAGTGATTTTGGTAACTTTTTATTTTAATTTGACAATTATTTTAAGTTAAGGTTTCTCATAAATAATTAAACAAAATAACCAAAAACATGAACAACTGGAGTTAACTGCACCATAAAATGCTTAAATTATATGATGTTAAATTTAATAAATTAGTTTTTGAAAGATTAAAGTATAATATAAGATAAAAAAAAATAATATAATAGAAAGGAATTAAAGAAATTTGTAATTTCCCATTACATACAGTATTGATATGTTTATAAATATCAAACCAACATGGCGTTAAAATTTAAATTTGGAAACTATTTTATTTCCAGCGCAAGTGAATAGATCGATAGAACATATCAAAATATCGATATAGTAAGAAACAGTTGGCCGTATTTTGTTTTGTTTTGGTCGGCTTTCAAGGAATATTTTTTCGGATGCGGCCAAAAAGATAGCGGAATCTCTTGCGGCGCCCCTATCAGCAATCAGAGGTCGCAGGTCAGGGGCCCGGGGCCGAACTCTTATCAATTATCAGTGGTCGCAAAGCGGTGCGGCAGAGGCGGCATCAACAGTGACAGCCACAGTTTCGCTTCAAACGCCGAGCGGCCAAACCAGAAAAGTTTGTAAAGGTGCCTTGCCTATGGCTGTTGGAATATGTTCAAATGTTCCAACAAATCAATAGATTCTTATATAATTTATTCCCTTTGTTTATGTAACATTTTGTAGGTCTTAAAAACATGCAGCGGATGCGACCAACTACACTGCCACAGAAGCTCAAATTGTGCTTTTGCCGGGACCTGAACACAGCCAGCAATAAACTGGTTAACTCCGCAGCTGGAAATCAGCTGGCGGTAGGAGGAGCTTTAAAGCAACGCAACTTTGCATTTAAAAATCGGACGATTTCGGCGGCACCATCGCCATCACCATTTTTTTTCGCCGCGATCAGACGATTTTCGGACTGCAAACAAAACACCTCGAAGAAGGTGAGTGACTGTGTTACTAAACTGCTTTTAATTAATCAATTGAGAAAAGGCTAGTGTGTGTTGTATAGTAGTTCATCTTTAGGTGATATTGGAGACATGTGCAAAACTTGTACAGCTTTTCTGTGGTTACTTATTTTTTAAAACCATGTGCTGATCGGCGTTTTTTTTTAACCCCTGGAACCATGTGTTTTCTTCCATGTTTTTTGTGTGTATTTCAAAATACTCTTCCTTAGGGTATTTTTAATTAGGGAATGTCGCGGGCAAAAAGTGATCTCTTATCTGTCGGACCCCTACAGCCTTTAATCTTGATTTTTTGTGATGAAAGTAAACAAGTATAAAATACACATATGTATTTATATACAATGTTTTTTTGAGTGATAATTATGGGCATTATAAAGAAGTTATATGATGATTATGAGAAAGAAAATGAAAATGAAAGAAATGCCAACTGATATATGTACATATTTTTCAGCTTGCGTAGGAGTTATTCATAACTATATATAGGATAATAAAATACAGAATTTTAAATAATATAATAAAATAAAAAATACATACGTATGATAATTTATATATATTATTTTTCGTACTCTTAAAAAAATCTGTTTATAATATAAAATCGAAATAAAAACATAAGACGTAAATTAATTATAAATAATCTTTAAAGAATTATATTTTTTTATAATTATAAAGTTTAAAATTATCTCAAAATCAAAGTATAGACCTTCTTAAAACCCCTAAAATAGGGTTTTAATATTAAACTAAATAATGCTCCTCTAAAATATAGTACATATAATGTTTTCATATATATATTTCTTAACATTAAACTTTATAAATTTGAAATTAGGATATTGCACACTTCGGTTTTATTATTTAAGAAAAATATTCTTTGATTTATTTCGCTGTCTCAGCCTTAAACTCGTTTTAGGCCTACTCAAATTTCTTTGGTTTTGTGTTGGTCTATTATTTATTGTTGTTTCTACCACTTGTTTATACAATAATATAGCCATAGCGATACCGATATCGCCGGGTATGTATACATGGCCCTGCCAATTAAATTGAATTTCGCCTGCGACAAGTGCAAAATTTTGCGGTAAACATTTATGCATTTCGCATTAAGCAAAGACTCGTGGCCAGAAATTAGCACTTTAATTTAGTTTATTTAGTTATTAATAGCCTTTTTTTTAGACTTTTGTTAGTTAAAAATTCTTTGCAAGTTTAATATAATTGATTTGTTGCATTTGTTTCGTATAAAAATAGTTTAAACAGAATGCTTATGGATTTTTATTAATTTTAATTTGAAATTCAATATACTGACTTGTTATTTTAATGAGAGTAAACAGAGAAAAGCTTTCCGAAGTGAAATTAAATTTGTTTTGGCTATTTTATAATTGATTTCTTCTTTCCGAAGTTGTATTTCTTTTTGTAAATTTGTGTAATTGTTTAAAAAAATCCCAACATTCCATTGAATTTAGTATATTTTGCCCACTTATGGAAAGGTTTTTAGAGGGATTTCAGAAACTCTAGTGATTTCTTAGATTTAAAATGCTCAAAAATAAATAGTAAAGTCTACAAGTGTATTAAATCAAACATTCAGACTTTCAAAACACTATAGCTTACGTTGTTCCCGATCTTTCGAAATTCGCATACGTCAGCTCCCCAAGGGGGCCCGCATCCTTATCTCCTGACCCTGTGACCTCAGACAGACAAACATGCGATAGATGGATACAGATACAGATACAGCCACAGGGGGTCTTGGAGAGGAGTATATATATTCATAGGTGACATAACCACTGGCCATATATACTTTCCTGTTTATTTGGCCAATCTAATCGAGAAAGAAGCCCGAATCAAGTGGTTGCCATGGTGCATCCGCAGCTAATCTCCGCTTGGCGATAGCTCACCGATCCATCAGTCGATCGTCCACCTTATCAACCGAACTTTTCCAAAGCTATTTGAACCCACTGAACCTGAGTGTATTTTTTTTTCGCAACATAAATATAAATATAAATATTTTTGTTGTTGAAATCGGGGCGTATAAAAACATGACCAGTCAGGGATCGGTTTTCCATAGCTTTCATATAGCCAACGATCGTTGCAGCGAACGCATCGCACTGCACTGCCGATATATCGAATATATAGTACATATATATATAAATATATATAAATTTAACCATGTCTAAATCCCAGACCATGCCGGACCAAAAGATGCTGCAGGCCTCGTTGGCGGAGAGCGATCCCGAGCTGGCCGATCTTATCAAGAAGGAGAAGGAGCGCCAACGTGAGGGACTCGAAATGATTGCCAGCGAGAACTTCACCTCGGTGGCGGTCCTGGAGAGTCTGAGCTCCTGCCTGACCAACAAGTACTCCGAGGGTTATCCCGGCAAGCGGTGAGTCCAAGTTATAAATCAATATTATATGGTATATATATACGAGTAGTACTTTTGAGACAGCTTTATAAATAGGCTTAAAGGTTCCTATATATATACTAGTACTACTTTAAAGAGAGCTCTATAAATATACTTAAAGGTTCCTTTATATAAAAACTAAGATTTTGAATCATTTCGAGTGAACTCTATAAAGAATATTCTTAAATATTAAAGACTATGCATATTTTAGAGTCTCAAAATATATAAATATAACTTAAACAGCTTTAACTTCTTATTCTCATACATATATTATGTATTAACATTTTTAATAGAGATGAATACCAAAGTAGGAACCTATTTTAATTAGATTTATTCTACTTAATCAACTAAATCTTAAAATTACTTCTAAGTCAAGACCTAACTTAGGGTTTATTCCGGTAATACCTTAAGCAATCATTATTTTCTTAAAAACCTTAACTAAATCCCTAACTCTCCATCTCCTTCCCCATTTCAGTTACTATGGTGGCAACGAGTTCATCGATTGCATCGAACTGTTGGCCCAGAATCGTGGCCGTGAGCTGTTCAACCTCAGCGAGGACAAGTGGGGCGTCAATGTCCAGCCTTATTCCGGTTCCCCGGCCAATTTGGCTGTCTATACGGGCGTCTGCCGGCCACATGACCGCATCATGGGTCTGGATCTACCCGATGGTGGACATCTTACCCATGGCTTCTTTACGCCCACCAAGAAGATCTCCGCCACATCGATCTTCTTCGAGAGCATGCCGTACAAGGTCAATCCGGAGACGGGAATCATTGATTACGACAAGCTGGCCGAGGCAGCAAAGAATTTCCGTCCGCAGATTATTATTGCCGGCATCTCGTGCTATTCCCGACTGCTGGACTATGCCCGTTTCCGTCAGATTTGTGACGATGTTGGTGCCTATCTAATGGCCGATATGGCCCATGTGGCTGGCATTGTGGCCGCCGGTTTGATTCCATCGCCGTTCGAATATGCCGACATTGTGACCACCACCACGCACAAGACGCTGCGCGGTCCCCGATCCGGTGTGATCTTCTTCCGCAAGGGTATCCGTTCCACCAAGCCCAATGGCGACAAGGTCATGTATGATCTGGAGGAGCGCATCAATCAGGCGGTGTTCCCATCACTGCAGGGTGGTCCCCACAACAATGCCGTGGGTGGCATTGCCACTGCTTTTAAGCAGGCGAAGACACCGGAGTTTAAGGCCTATCAGACGCAGGTCCTCAAGAATGCCAAGGTTCTGTGCGATGGTCTCATCTCTCGGGGCTATCAGGTGGCCACCGGCGGCACCGATGTCCATCTGGTGCTGGTCGATGTGCGCAAGGCTGGTCTGACTGGTGCCAAGGCTGAGTACATCCTGGAGGAGGTGGGCATTGCCTGCAACAAGAACACGGTGCCCGGTGATAAGTCTGCGCTGAATCCCTCGGGCATTCGTCTTGGCACTCCAGCATTGACCACACGCGGTCTCGTCGAGAAGGACATGGAGCAGGTGGTGGCCTTTATTGATGCTGCCTTGAAGGTTGGCGCCGAGGCTGCCAAGGTGGCTGGTAGCCCTAAGATGGCCGATTTTCACAAGGTGTTCGATGAGAATGCCAAGGTGAAGGCGCAGAAGGATGAGATCCGTAAATCTGTGGTGGAGTTCAGCAGGAAGTTCCCGTTGCCAGGACTGTCGACCTTCTAAATGAAGGTTGTCTCTACATTTGATACATTTTATCTCTCTTTTTTTATGTACCGAATCCCCCCGCATGAAGGGCAGCCTTTCATTTCCATTTTGATTGATTGCGGGGGCGAGTTAGTCTAGTACTAGCTAGTAGTTAAGTCATTAAAACGCATTTCGATACCATTCTATCATAGTCAAAAGGTTTTTTTCTTGGGGGTTACCAAGGGCTTAAGACCAAGATTTGGCTTTAAATCAAAGCTGGAGCCTGGAGACTTAAATTAACTACAAAGTATTATTAAAGGAGAGCCAAATGTTGGGCTTATGTTATGGTTCTGAACGCGATTTAACTTTGAAATGAATTCCAGTTCCCATTAAAGGATTCAGGACTTATTTCAGGCTACATCTAGGTCTTATAGTAATTTTTTCTTTAGTGTTTCTGTTTTAAAAATACTTAACAAGGCAGCAATTAAAATATACCTAAATTTTGTTTATTCAGTATCAATGTGATCGCTAATCTATATACATATGTACATACATAATATATACTTCTTTGAAAAGAGACATACTTCAAAAAATACATAAAATATAAATTGTTTTATAAATCATTGCAATATTTTGATGATCTTTCCAAATATATAAAGAAAGGAACCTCCCAATGCTTTATGTTTAAAATAACCAAGATCAGGCAACGAAAAGTGAGCAAGAAGTATATCTATAACTCAGCTTAATTCTTAATAAAACCCTATTTAATTTCATTTTAGTTTAGTGTTCAAATGTCAAGCCTGTCTATTTGTTTCTAATTGAGCTGTTTTTTTGGAAGAATTTACCTAATAATTGTTCTAATTGAGAGAGGGCAGAGCAGGGAGGAGGAGGAACTTTCGACTGCTTGAGCTTAGTCAATTCCCTTCAATTTGTATATATATAAAAACAATACCATCAAAAATATATAGAATACGTTCGAAATACCTTTAAGACTCCTTGCTGGAGCGATCGCGATGGAAGCGGGAATTGTGTGTGGCCAGCGACCATTTCGTTTTGAAACTCTTCATGCAGATGAAGCACTCGTGCTCCCGGCCCTGAATCTCCGAATGCCGGCAGGCGATATGACGTCTCAGGGCATGCACTGATTTCAGACGACGTTTGCAAAAGGTGCACACCAATAATAGGAGTCCTCCTCCGGTCTCATCATCACTGGCAGTGGAAATGGTTGCTCCATTACCAGGCTCAACACCTTCTCTCGAAGCACTTTCACTTTTGCAGCCAGATTCGGCTTTGAATGCTATTCTGGGAGCTGTAATCAAAAGAGCAAAGAATAATAATATTAGTGCTTAATTTTGTATGATTTTGAGTATAATTGTTAAAGTTCCAGCCAGTGTAGAGATAGTCATCAGAAACCTAAGCAGCATACACAGAGTGTTTACCATCAGATTGCAGCTAGAAACCTTTGAGAATTATAGTGTAAAGTTATTTGTATGAGCCCCTTATAAATAATAAGGAATAACTTTAAAAAACTACAAAAAAATTATGAAAAAATAATAAAACAAATTAAATCAAAGTTAACTTTAGAAATGTCTCAATTTTAAATAAGAATGCAGCTTCGGAAAGCCAAATTTTGGATTGGATCAGAAAATCCAACCTGAAATCGATCATAACTAAGCCAAAAATGCATTAATTTCAATTCGGAAAGCTGTCCAATGTTAGTTTTTGTAACGTTAAAAAATCTGCATACTCGATTTAAAATTTAAAAAAATTAAAATTTTTGACTAGATTTTTGGTAAAATTAAACGATGAAAAAAAGTTGAAAAAATTAAAAAAAAAAATTCCTTCCGGAGATAGCTAGAAAGACTCCCCTATTGATGCTGATCAAGAATATATATGATTTATAGGACCGGAAATGACTCCTTCACTGCGAAACAAGGTTCTAACTAAAATTATAATACGCTGTAAATACAAATTTTTAAATTGTTACAATTTACACTTAACTTAAAATTAAAAATAAAACAAACATAAACAAAAAAACAAGAGTTTCAATTTAAATAAATAGAATAAAATTCATTCATTGTAATTTCATAACTAACTTAAATTTAATTAAAATAACAAAAACAAATATTTTTAAAAGGTGGGAAAACAATAATAACAAACTTAAAAATGCAAATACAATACTATTTTTAAGCTATATTTTATAAGCCTTAATTTTACCCAAGAAATATATAAAATTGTAAATTGTTTACATGTTATTCTTTTATTTCTCTTCCTCGCACTATATCTCTTTCTCTATCTCTTTCATTTTCAAGTTTCTAGCAAAACGAATTTAAATTGAGTTATTTTGTCTCATTCATCGATGTGTATAAATCAATATACAAAGATACACATATGGGACTTAAAGGTTAATGTTTTTTTCTTTTATTTTGAGAGGTTATAGAATCTCCTTTTCTACTAAATACTTTCGAGCGAGAAATGACAAAGAAATTGCTAGAGGATCTTAAAATCCCTTAAAAAACAGAATTAACTATTTCCAAAACATTTCTTATAAAACCTCTAGTAATTTCTAGGCATTACTGGCCAGAGTTTCTACATTTCGTTGATACATTCCCTCGTTTCTTTTGTATTCTTATTTCTTTCAGTGAGATCCTAGGCGAAAAAACACATATTTTCCAAAGGGTTTGAGTTTAGACTTCGGTTGGAGCCCAAAAAACAGGGGCATATATAGTATAGATATAACATTAACTATATGTTTGTGTATACATAGATCAATATGTGGATCGATAAGTAATACGTATGAGTTGTTTCATTTAACTAGATTATCTTTAGTATGTAGAGTTGTCTTTTTTATAGAGAGAAATTTCTACAGGGGTTTACGGGGTTTACAAGGTGTGACAAAATACTCTCGAACTTTCAAACCTAATCCTAGCGTGTAAACATTATGACTTCCATTTTCACTTGGCTTTTCTTTGTGGTCTCTGCTCGCAATTTTTGTTTGTTTGTTTTGGGCTTAAATTAAACTATAAACTATACTCTATGAACTATAAACTATAACTAATTTAGCTAATGTACAAACAGTGGGGGGCCCAACGCTTTAATGCTGAACACAGAATGGTCATGGACAAAGCGCTGGATCGTATTGCAGTTCATTTATAATATATAAATTTGTACATAAGGATGTTTCTTGGGGGAAAGGAGGATATAGGGTATATTCTGTTCATGTTCATTTAAGGTTTCAGGTTAATAAATTAGAGCAAAGTACATGAGCCCTGGGCAAGGGAATCAATCTCTTGAAGCGCTCACAGAAATCTCCAGAGATTTAAAGACTAGTTTGCAAGTATAAGGACAAGGTTACATTAAGTCGGCTGGCACTATTAAATATATAGTAAAGGTATATAGTATAGTATATATATGTACATAAAATCAAGGTATTCAGTGTTATAGCTTTGGGTTAATCTTAAAACTCTAAATATTCCTGTGATCACTGATCTGTGTGTCTATGTACATAAGGGTTTCTTGTACTTTGCTATTCATGGTAAAAAGTTCCTAAATCATAATGTGGCCTTGGTCAACGACGGGATTACCAGCTCCACTCTCCGACTGACTCTGACTTTGACTCGGACTTGAACTTAAACGCTAACTTATCTTAGGCTATATAGTTTAGACACGCAATATATAATGCTATAATAACGCTAAGAGTATAATGCTCTTGAATTGTTTCTGCTTTGCATTTGAGTTGACAATTTTGGCTAGTTTTTAGGATCAATGGGAATGGATAACGGACTGGCTGACTGACTGACTGACTGACTGACTGTCTGACTCTACTCGACTCATTTGCTAAGCTGGACGTAATTAACTATGTGTATCCCTCTGACGGACTCCGATTTTAGAGGCGGCCAACGCTGACAACGCTGATGGCGGCGGATCAGTTCTCCGTCTTGATGGTCACTTTCTGCTCGTGCGAGATGCGTATGTGCTCTCGCAGGCTGTATTTGTTTTTGAAATTCTTATTGCACAGATCGCATTTGCGGGGCGGTTGTGGTGTATGTTGGGTGCGAATATGTCTCCAAAGATTTACCGTGGTTATAACCATTTTGCAAAACTGACATTCTGTCCACTTATTATTGGGTGAATCTAAAAATATACAGAAAATACGTACAGATCAGTTAGGCACAGTCTCTATCTAATGGAATGATTCCTCCCGTTCTATGGATTTCCTAGCTGGACATACGCGTGTTGGAGACATATTCGACAACCACAACAACAGCAACAACTAAATATTTAAGGCACACAACATTGAAATAAATAATTTAATAATTTTGGGTGCAAAGCTACAAGAGCTACTAGGGATTGCCAGGCCACAAACTCTGTAAACTTAAATTAAAAACACACACACAAACAATACATAACTAATATAAATAAAGCCATAAATAAGAACTTAGATGCATGTTTACTTAAGCAACCTTAAAAATGCAAAAGGAAAGCATACAACTAAACTAAACTTAAATAAAGAAATCATAAACTAAATGATATATGTTTAATATGGTAGTTTATTGATAGAAAGTCCTATATCATATTAAAATATCTTCAATTTTGATATTTCGAAGTTTGAAATATCAAGATAACAAATTTAAAGTAGAAAATATCCGTATTATCGAAATATCCGAAACAAATGTTCGAAATAAGTTTTTATCTCTTTTCTTGATTGTTTATCGATAAATCTCTCATATAGTGCTACGTTATAATATAGATACATTAGCCTTGACGTCAAAAATGCATATAACATCGATACATCGATATATTTATATGTTCCTATACATCTCATATAGTACAAACAATAAGTATATATTGAAAACAACAAAAAACCCACTCACCATTCGTCCCACTGGACTTGTTGTCCGATTTGACCGGCGTCACAGACACCGTAGTCGAGGGACCCGTTCCACCACCGCCACTCGCATCCTCCAGGCCTCCACTAGCTGCTGCCGCCGCCGCTGCTGCTGCTGCTGCTGCCGCACCACTGGCATTGCCCAGCAAGCGAGCTTAAATAGAGTTCATATTTATAATGATAATCATAATTTTAAAAGGTAATTACTACTCACTCATTTCGATGGTAATTTCCGCATTATCCGCATCCGCTTGGTACTTTTCCTCAATCTCAGACTCAGTGAGGATCTCGTACTCGGAGGAATACTGAGCCACTGTCTGGGCAGCGCCCGTTGTGGCATCCTGTGACGTTTGCGGCGTGGCCCCATCCGACAGACGATCGTCGACCTCGCCAACTATGTAGTCCGGTATGTCCATTTTGACGGCGCCGCGTAAAAAAGCCATATCGGAGGCTAAGGGGTATAATATATAATATATTTGATCCTTTATGCTCTTCCTTTACTTACTTTTCACTATATTCTGCTCATCCTTGGCATAATCAACGGTTTCGGTGGTGTACATGTTGTCATCGTCGTCGGAGAAGGTAATTTTGCGCTTCTTCATCGTACTAGACGCGGGCAGAGTCACTGCATTGCTGATGCTCAAATGCTGCGTCTGCACGGGCGTCGTCTGCTGCGGTTGGGATTGTTGCTGCTGTTGCTGCTGCTGGGATTGTTGCTGCTGCTGTTGCTGTTGTTGCTGCTGCTGCTGCTGCTGAGGGGGCGGTGCAGATTGCACTTGAATATGCTGAATCTGTGTGGTTTGTACATGATGATGCTGTTGTTGCTGCTGCTGCTGTTGGACCTGCTGCAATTGTGCGGCTGCTGCAGCAGCTGCCGCCACCTGCGATTGCACTTGGCTAGCGGTGGTGGCCTGCAACAGCGTGGCCGTTGGTATCTCAATGGTCTGGGTGGCCGATTGCGCCTGCTGGGCCGTTACCGTGTTGACCTGGTGCTGTTGCTGCTGCTGCTCGCTAACTGCACGAATGGTGCTCGGTATGGTCTTGATTAGCTTGTGCTCGCTGATGAGCGGCGCCACCGGCAGCTGCGGCCGCTCCTTCTCTTCGGCGGTGAGTCCCTGGACGGCCAGTAATTCGGCGGTTTGCAGGAACGATTGCAGGGCCTCCTGCTGCACATTCACTTCGCCCTGCAAAAGATAAAATAGCAGTTTATCAAGAAGAATAGTTGCCCAAATGGCTTCCACTGTGAAACTCACCTGGTACATAAACTCAATAATAGAGTTGAGATCCTCAAACTTGATAAACTTAAATATAATAACCGGATGCGGATGCGGGTTCTCCTTGAAGATCTCCTTGAAATACGAGGAGCAGGAGGATAGCACCACCTTGTGCGCCTTGATCCGTCGCCCGTCGACGCACAGGCTCACATCGACAAAGTCGTCGTTTAGCCGATGGTTGTCCAGCGAGTAGGTGAGGTGGCGCAGGTAGTTGTTCCATCGCAGCGAGTACTGCTGCGTGGTGGCCATTGCGTCCTCCTTGCACGCGCGGCGGCCGCTCTTTTCCTATTTTTCCTCTACACTTTCCCACTTTTCGCGAAAATAACACACACACAAAAAAAGAAAACAAAAAAAAAACTGCAATCCAATTAGCGGTTTCTCGCTCTCCCCGCAACGGGGGAGGAGAGGCAACGGGGGCGGTGGGTTTGTTCTGCTCTCCGCTGAAGCTGGCCCGCCTTGCACGTCCCCGGCGTACACAGAAATCCTTCGCCGCTGGCTTCTTCTGCACCGATTCACTCCCTATTCACTATATCCTTGGAGCGGTAATCCTCCTGCTGCTGGTGCATTTACTTCTTGTTGTTTATTCGCAAGTTTTGCTTAATGTTTTTCACAATTACTGTACTTGTATATGTGGTATCGATAAGCACTAATCGTGTGGGCACTCACGCGATATGTGGCTATCGATAGCCACTGTGCTTATCGATGATAGCTGCGACTCCTTCAAGGCCAATAAAAGGGTAAAACTGACAATTCAATAGAATTTTCTAAAATTTGCCTAAATTTGTGGTTGTTGTTAAACAAAACTAGGCTATTTTTACGTTTTCATTTTGCTTATTTTGTTTTCTTTTTGCAAACAGCTGTAGTAGGGTTCCATTATATTACACCAGATGGCGCATAATCAAAAACAGTGCTGCCAGACTGAAAAAATCCGTTATTTTGAATTTAATTTTTACGAACATTTAATAATATAACATTAAAATATATCCAAAACCAGAATTTGAAGGGAATTTAAATTATTTTAGAGTCTACCACAGGCTCACAAGGAATCTGAATATCAAACGAAGCTGTAGTCGGGTTCCATTATATTACGCCAGATGGCGCATGATCAAAAACAGAGCTGCCAGACTGAAAAAACTCGTTGTTTTGAATTTAATTTTAACAAACATTTAATATTGAAAAAAACCATTAAAATAAATCCAAAACTAGAATTTGAAGGGAATTTAAATCATTTTAGAGTCTACCACAGGCTCACAAGGAATCTGAATATCAAACGAAGCTGTAGTCGGGTTCCATTATATTACGGCAGATGGCGCATGATCAAAAACAGTGCTGCCAGACTGAAAAAACTCGTTATTTTGAATTTAATTTTTACAAACATTTAATATTGAAAAAAAAAACCATTAAAATAAATCCAAAACCAGAATTTGAAGGGAATTTAAATCATTTTAGAGTCTACCACAGGCTCACAAGGAATCTGAATATCAAACGAAGCAGGAAGCTGTAGACAATGCCGCGACACAAAAAGTCCAAAACCAGAAAGATCTTCATACGGAATCGGGCAGCTTTACTACTGTCGGGACTTTCATGCAGTAGAAACTCCTTGGCGCCTCGGATGCCATGCTGGAAAAAGTCCACAGAATTGATGTTTGCATGCTGCATGAAACCAAAGGTGACCCTGAGAACAGAAGAAAGAAGAATACGTTTTTTTTTAAAACGAAAAATGGAAAATATTTAACAGAGTATGGAAATAAAAACAACTTACACTTCATTTTTCGGAACTAAGTCATGCAGGGCCCGGAAATTGTTATTCTGAAATTTCCACTCGGTCATGGCGAAAATCTGCAGGGCACTGAAGGCGGCAAAGATGCGACGCTGTAGCTTCATGAGGCTGCAAATTAAACAGGAAATTAAATAATTACAAATTTAATTTGTATTTTAATTAACATCTAGTCAACCTACAAGGGCTTCTCGTTATATAGTCGCAGCAAAGTGTCCACCACAACGGCCATGAGTAGATGCATAGTACAAAACTGAAAATAAATACAGACATACAATATATATCCAATTATTTATTATGTTTAATTTGATTATTTATTAATTACTCACCCTTATAAAATGCAAAACCGGACATGTGGTCATACTTCCACCTGGCAGCCACAGTGTCTTCTCAAAGGGATTCTTTCGTATGAAAGTCTTGCCAATTTCGATCACCTCGCCAATGGTTATGGGCGATATATTGGACGTGGCACAATTGATAACATATATCTCACTCTCCCCGCCTTTGGCCTTACGCTCCTGCCGGAGCTTAGCCTCCGAAATGAATTTGTAAGCAGCCGTAATAAGTGTACGGGATACCACATCGACTGGCACAAAATCGTACACAATATTGGGATCACAGTTTTGGGAACGAAGAATACCAGTGCCGCAGGCAACTAGAAGGCCAGTGGGTCCATTAAAATTATCCGCCCAACCGGGCATGGGCTCCTCAATGGTGGATACCACTGGAAAAAAGGATAACATAAGATCCGAGGATGTGTAAATTATATATACAAAATCTTACCAATTGAAGGCCTAAAGATAAAGATGGGCAACTGATCCCGGTAATCGTTGCAAATCTGCTCGGCCAAGCTCTTGGTAAAGGTGTACGTATTGGGTTGGAAATTTCCATATCTGCCAGGACAAAATAAGATCTTTATAGAACCTCTCTCTGGCTACTTAGATCTATTACTTACTTGAGATTATATATGTTCAAAGTCTCCTCATCGTAGGTCTCTGCCAGTTTAATGGTTGTCCTCCAATCGGCCAGCGGTGGATAGACACGCTCCTCCACCTCCAGAACACTGGGATTTGCATACGTAGTGGACACATGGACAAAGGTCTTGAGTTTGCGCCAACCCAAGGCCAGCTTGATTAGTTCATGGGTGCCCCGGGTATTCATCAATATAGCAGTCCGTAGGGGATCGTCGAAACTAAAAAACAAGAAGTATAAAATGTACATAAATTATTTTTGAAGATACCTTTAGCATAACATTATAAAGCACCTTGAATTTATTTAAATCTAAATCTATTTAAAACGAATTTAAAACCAAATTGAAAAAGAAGTTGGAAATTATAAGCTTTAACGGAAAAGGCAGTTTGGGAATTATAAGCACAGGCGAGTGAATATCCGAAAACATTATTATGTCTAGGATTTTTCAATACTTAAACTTTAAATATTGATTAATAAAATATAAATAATAATCCATTTGTACATACCGCACACTGGCTGCCGAATGATACACAATGTTTACGTTCTTCAAGCGTTCTAGATCTGCTTCACTGATGCCCAAGCCCAACTGCTCCACGTCTCCGGCTATGGCCACCACCTTGGATAGGGAATCGGGCTGCTCCCTGCGCACCCTCTCGTACAGCTTTGACTCCCATTGAAGTTGGAGTCGTTCCTCGATAGTTTGTCCCTTTTTGGGACGCATCAGGACATAAATCTTGCCCAGTGTGGGACATGACCGAAGCAACTTCTCCAAGAGTGCCTTGCCCACGAACCCTGATCCGTACAATGGATGATTATATGTATTTGTTAATGGAACCTCATAGTGTTTACTCACCCGAGGCCCCGGTCAGAAAGATTTCCTGATCCTTGAAAGCTTCCGGTATAGTCATGGTTTATCTATATCTTTTGTCACTCCACCCTTATCGCTGTCCCAAGGTGTTCTGACCGAAGTACGCCGGATCCAAGGCGGGAATACTCAAGTCCGGACAGTCGCGCTGCCTGACCTCTGGATAAAGGGATCACATTGCTGAATATTCTGGGCCTCATTAGGGCCGTCTTTGAACGCGTGCAGGATGATACCCCGTAATCCAATTGGCATTCTGGTGATATTAAAAACCTAGGAAAATAAAATAAATAATTCTGAAATATAAATTAAACTAACTTCGACAAATCAAAGTTTCAAAAACTCATAACTCAGCCAAAAAAGCATTAATTTTAATTCGGTAAGCTTTCCTATATCAGTTTTTATTAGGTTAATAAATCTCCATACTCAATTCAAAATAAAATAACAATTAAAAATTGTATTAAATTTTAAAATTTTTACGATGTAACCCATTATGAAATTTAAAAATAAATTTAAAAATTTGTTTTTCTCCAGAGATAGCTAAATCGACTCGGCTGTTCATGCTGATCAAGAATATATATGATTTATAGGGTCGGAAATGACTCCTTCACATCGTTATAATCTTTTGACTTAAATTAAAATACCTTGTAAGGGTATAAAAATCTGATAAATATATTAGGGTCTAGTTAGAATAAATTTCTAGTTGGAATTTAGGGCCTGGCGCCTAAAAATTAAAGAACTGCGTTTTTAAAATTTGTGTTGATTATAAATTATGTACATATGTATGTAAACATACATATATTACAAAGAAAATATATTTTTAAATAAAACACATAAGTAAAACTATCGTAAATAAACGATCAACTTGCCCTTACACATTTCATTAACAACATGATAACTCTTACCTTTTCAGCAGCCTGTAATAACGCAATTATTATAAAATAAAATCTTTTCTAGGACCATAAAACAGGGTTTTAATTTCAAAAACCAAAGCACACCAATTTTTACTCAAAAAACCCCATCAAAAATCTTCTGAATATGCACACATACAAACGTACAATATAAACTATGCCGGGTGATTTGTGTTAACGCGTTTATCGTATTATCCGCTCCTCCGCTTTGAGCGCCCATTTTTTTGTATTTTTTTTATCTCACTACTTAAAACGGCACTTTAATCACACTCTCCCGGCATTAGCATGCGTGTGCATGCGAGCGAGCGAGATGGCGGCAGCTGACTCTCAAATTGCAGAGCATTAACAGCTGTTTAACAGCTTCGGGTCGGTGACCTCGACCGCCCCCCTCTCCCACAGCAACTCCAGAAAAGCCGCTGCAACGGTACCTTGTAAATATTTAATCTCCGAAATAGTTCCATGTTTTCTTCTCTTTTAGTTGCATTTTCACATTTTAATTAACATTTTCAGGCGTAAACTTATCAATCGATACGCATGCAATTAGAAAAGTGTACAAATAAAAAAATTACATATGCTTATTATGCTCCTCGTGTGTGTATGAGTGAAACTGCAGCCAAGTGTGTCTCAGTGTGTGTATGTGTGGGGTGTTGGCGTATTGGTAACTTTGCCGGCCGGCAAAGAAGGTTCAAAAGAGGCGGCGGCACGGGCAGAAATAAGGAAAGAGCGCGAGCGAGCGAGCAGAGCAGAGCAGCAGAGTGGGGG